CATAAAATCGCTACACGATAGTCATGACTTAATTTTTGCTAAGAAAATACGCTTAAAATACTTTGATTCTGATGAATTGTTCACGATTTTTAGTAAAAGTAAATCTATTTATAAATTGAGAAATGAGAGGGAATTTAATGCGTTTCACTCGAGTAAAAACTACATCTTTTATTCGTCATCGTTTCGGTTAATTCGTTCTTATAATCAACTACCATCAGAATTTAGGAGTTTAACATCTTTGAGTAAATTTAAAAAATTGATATGTGATTTAGTCCATAAGTTTAGTTAACCTTATATGTTCATTCTTTATAATTTTGTGTTCTAAAAATTGTCATTGTACTTTTTGTTGATATGTAATAGGGTATTTTTACCCGTTGATTGCGAAATAAATAAATAAAATATTGTAATTCATTTGTTGTCCCATCGTTAACTTGTTAACATCTCGATTGAATTATAATAAACGCACATAGTGTATTATTGTTTTCCTTTCGACGGGACAGCAGCTCATGTTTTTTGGGCCAGTCGAATTTCGACCTTAAAAATAAAAGTATTTTTAAAAAGTAAATTCGGCGGCGGAAAACATTAACTTGCCTACATAGTTTCCTATCATACCAATTCAAATCTGTATACTAACTGCATGACGTGCATCCTTACTTTTCCTAATAGCAATTTTATTATGCCTTTCGTCGGTAATTTCGGTTTAAACTTCAATTCTCAATATTTCTTCTAAACGGCATTTCCAGATGTCAGTAGTTAGTTCTCTACTGTGATCAACTTATTGCTAAATCCTACTTATCACCCTTTTTACAATCTTTTTTCTGTTCTGATGAAGTTTTCGTTTCATGTACCTAAAAATAGTAACCTTACGCTCCAATTTCATATTTTATTTGTAGTCTTTATTTCTTTGATTTGTACATTAAATACTTTACCGTTTTCGCGTTATTGTTATTTCTTCGTCCTATCACCAGAACAAATCGTCTATACAGTATGTTACAAGAAATGCAATAATCCTGAGTAAAGGTCAAGGAAAAAAAAACCTTTATGAACGAAATAGTTCCAAAAATTGGAAGGATGTATACGTATGTAAAACGTTTCCTTCTGTTCGCTATGAACACATGTTTGAAAGTTGTTTGCAGCCATTTTTAAACAATTCAGTTGTATGATGACGTGGTGACGTAATTATTTAACGAATTGTTCAGTAAGCACACTTAAAAACAGTTACGGCAATAATCAATAAGTTCGGTAACGGAATACTTTTGGAAAACTGGCACATGATGAGTGATACGTATAGACAATGCCGTACCTATTAATTCAGACATGTAAAGTTAACAACATGCAATTGAAAATGAACTTCAACATACATATACCAATCATCCCCGACGTTTTCCAAAAAAGACATGTAAGTTGTGATTGTAAGTTTCATGGGAATCTTTCGATATGTACAACTCATACAGTTTCATCAAATGAAAAAAGCAATATGTGAGATAACTGTTATCATAAATAATTACAACAGAACAGATATTTGCAAACATTACTATTTCCAGTTTGTGCGATTACCTTCCAGCAATATCAATAGTTTGCAGTATAAGTAACGCAGTGACAGTTTAAAAAGAAGAAATGCGTAACAGACATGTGCCATAATTAGGTACGTTTTGCAGAAACGTACAGAAACATATACATTACAGTGACAGTTACAAATTCCATTACTTCCCACTCCTTCTAAAAAGCTTCATTTTCATCAATCAACGCGAAGGAAAACCGAAAATTCCGTTAAAAATAAGAACACAAGGCAAGCAAGACGATTGAAGTTACTTTTTTAGTAACATCAAGTTTTTGCCGAAATTACTCATTCGGTGTGCAATACTTACAACTGCTTGTTAATTGCTTTTTATAAAGAATAACATGTTATTCTTATCATTTTCATCAGTAAACTTTCAAAAATTTTCCAGCTAAAATCCACGTCTATTGGATTACCGTACTTCATTAACTATATATTTCAGACACGGAAGTAACATTATTCATTCCAATACGGTGTGTTATTTATTAACTGAAACATTTTGGAAATACCTTCATTTGTATATTTGTACACAATTGTATATACTTTGTCAATTTACCCGATTAGTATTTTACCTGAGAAACATTATTAGCTGTTTTTTGTGAAGTTAATTTCATAAAAGTTAATTTTGCAAGCACATCTCATTTATTTCCATTGTATAATTGACTAGGACAAAAATAAATCAGTGTGGAGCAATTATTTATGTACGTATAATGTTACTATATTTGTTTCCAATGCAGTTCCAAATTCGCACAAGTATGGCAAGCAAGGTCACTTGCAAGCGAAACCAAATGTATATGTACGTATTTCTTAAATAAATAAACTACTTCTGATAACGCTGACTATTCTACAATCTACATTATACTATTCACAACCACAACAGTCAAAACATTCGTTGTCATTAGTCATTTTTGAAATAATTTTACTTATTCAATTTACCATTACACATACGACACATATTCTTATTATAATACAGCAAAACGTCATACGTGTATGTTGGACATCTCATAATAAAAACAAAACAATTTCAATTTCTTTTCAATGAACAACGTTTCTGATAAAAACAATAACAGGAAATACAGCAAAAGTCTAAATTGCATTTTAGACTATTTCGACAAGGAAATTACAATTTTTTCAATTACAGTTCAACCATACGATTTATGTTTTCTTTTCTTCTCATGTAATTCAATGTTAAAACAATTTTAATTTCTTACTGTTCAGAGTATAGACCGTTCTTCTTGACGCAGCCCATAAAGTTCCTGTATGCAGCTTTTAGAATAATTTGCAAATTTACAAGGCGGCGTTGTGTTTATTTCATAATTGAACTTAGAGTTACCTAGGTACCTCATCGGAAATGTGAAAGGTGCCATTCAAATAAAGTTTGCGAATCTTCGAAAAACAGATATACATTTGAAAGTTGCCGAAGCAGGCCTTCATGACTTCTTAATCCGTGTATCTTTTCATATATGTACATACATGCAGTTATACAGTACACATTATACACATATTATATGCATATATTTTTACTGTATTTGGTCCTCACGTAAACAGTATTCTGTACTTTCACCCTCCTTTGTTTTTCTGGTTGACAATTGACAATACGTTTGTCTATTTTCTCACATATTCTACTACTATTTATGTATGGACCACTTGTTCACAACATTTCATTTCTTGTACTTTTTCACTTACCTTTTTTAAAATTTCTTCCCTGCTTTCTTCTTATGAATGACAAATGATAACATCCAACTTTATATTTTCATTTTTTTCAAATACCCTCATTGATAACTACAGACAATTCCTATTTTTCTCTTTACGCGATTCGCGGTGGCGGACGCGACTTTTCAATGTTTACACGTGGTATTTCCCGATTTCTCCTCCAATGAAAGGCATTACAAATTATTATTATTATCGTTACCAATTTTAATAAAAACTTTTTTTGAACGTAGACAACCCTAATCACCCCAGTGCAAATAAAAGTTATGATAATATTTTTGATGATCGTATGCTGTTTTTCTTATGCAACCCACTTTACTAAATCTTTAAACGTTGCAAGCACTGCCATCTGCCAGGTTTAGTCTGCACCATTTTTGACAGGAGAGTGAGCACCGCATGATTGGTATCATGTCATTTTTGAGTCAATAAATATCTATGGTAGATAAAACATTTCGTCCCTTTCTTTTAGCCATATAGCAGTTGTAGCTGGTTGTAGCCATGTTGCTTTGCTCGGTGATTGCTTTATATTTTTCTATGGTGTATATCAATATTATATTTGTCATGTTAGTACGAAGTGCGTGACAACAATACAAATTATTGTCGTTCTATTATATATCGTAGATGGTTATTTATTTTTTAAATTGGAACTGTGAGTGAAGTTATATTATGAATGAATTATTGAACTGTATATATTCAAAACTATATTTAAAAGGTAAGTTGTGGTTCTGTTTTCGGTTGTATGATGACGTGGTGACGTAATTATTTAACGAATTGTTCAGTAAGCACACTTAAAAACAGTTACGGCAATAATCAATAAGTTCGGTAACGGAATACTTTTGGAAAACTGGCACATGATGAGTGATACGTATAGACAATGCCGTACCTATTAATTCAGACATGTAAAGTTAACAACATGCAATTGAAAATGAACTTCAACATACATATACCAATCATCCCCGACGTTTTCCAAAAAAGACATGTAAGTTGTGATTGTAAGTTTCATGGGAATCTTTCGATATGTACAACTCATACAGTTTCATCAAATGAAAAAAGCAATATGTGAGATAACTGTTATCATAAATAATTACAACAGAACAGATATTTGCAAACATTACTATTTCCAGTTTGTGCGATTACCTTCCAGCAATATCAATAGTTTGCAGTATAAGTAACGCAGTGACAGTTTAAAAAGAAGAAATGCGTAACAGACATGTGCCATAATTAGGTACGTTTTGCAGAAACGTACAGAAACATATACATTACAGTGACAGTTACAAATTACATTACTTCCCACTCCTTCTAAAAAGCTTCATTTTCATCAATCAACGCGAAGGAAAACCGAAAATTCCGTTAAAAATAAGAACACAAGGCAAGCAAGACGATTGAAGTTACTTTTTTAGTAACATCAAGTTTTTGCCGAAATTACTCATTCGGTGTGCAATACTTACAACTGCTTGTTAATTGCTTTTTATAAAGAATAACATGTTATTCTTATCATTTTCATCAGTAAACTTTCAAAAATTTTCCAGCTAAAATCCACGTCTATTGGATTACCGTACTTCATTAACTATATATTTCAGACACGGAAGTAACATTATTCATTCCAATACGGTGTGTTATTTATTAACTGAAACATTTTGGAAATACCTTCATTTGTATATTTGTACACAATTGTATATACTTTGTCAATTTACCCGATTAGTATTTTACCTGAGAAACATTATTAGCTGTTTTTTGTGAAGTTAATTTCATAAAAGTTAATTTTGCAAGCACATCTCATTTATTTCCATTGTATAATTGACTAGGACAAAAATAAATCAGTGTGGAGCAATTATTTATGTACGTATAATGTTACTATATTTGTTTCCAATGCAGTTCCAAATTCGCACAAGTATGGCAAGCAAGGTCACTTGCAAGCGAAACCAAATGTATATGTACGTATTTCTTAAATAAATAAACTACTTCTGATAACGCTGATTTTTACTTTTACTACCTGTTATCTCAAATGTTTTGCCATTCTTTCACTATTTTATTTGATACTCATTAGTAATGATACTCTGTACATCCGTTAATTTCCGATAAATATTTCTGTTTAATAGCACAACAATGATACAATACCATTTCACACATTACTATTTTTAAGAGACAAGGAAATGTTTGTATTGTGGCGATTTAATCCGTTTTACAAAAACAATTTACTATTTTTTAAAGTGAAATATTAACTGGTTCTTTCTATATTTGTTCATATGGCTGTGTAAATTTTATTACTTGTATTAGTTAAAGGCCGATAGTATTCCTTATGCTATTTAACAGAAACAGTTTAGAACACAATTTTCTTTAATTTTCATTATTTATTTATTTGTTGATTATCACTCTTAATTTTGGAAGGTTTTCATTTGTTCAAAGGAGTAGGAGTTATATGTTGCGTTAACTATTAACACGATAAGAAAATACGTACTTATCGTTAGTCGTTTGAAAAATTGTTTGTAACTCGTCCATTGTAATTATTACTTCTTTAAAGAAAAGTAGCACATCTGCTGATTAATTAATAATAACGGATGGCGTAGGTATTGCCACCCGTCTACTTCAGATAACGCACGCGTTTTATTACAATGGTAGATTTCAATTGGTTTAGTTATTTGTGTGTTTGGAATTTTTGTAATAAATGTGTTTGTGTATTGTTGTGGTTGTAAATTTCATTGCCAGTTGTATTATTATTGTGTATATATTTTTTTCTTATAATTCAGTTTGTATACTTACTCTTTACCTATTCTGTATCTATTCTTCGCTTAAACGAATATTTCATTACCACTTATCATATCTAATATACATTGTAGTTATAGAAAGGGGCAACGTCAGCTTGCGAACGTATGTAATATTATTAATGTTATCTGAAATGGCATTGTTCTGATAGTAATAAGCTTATTAAGGATTTTAAAAGAAATTGTAATGGTAATTATAATGATTATTGTAATTCCGTTGTTGTTCCATCGTCAACTCGGTAAACATCTCGATTAAATAGTAATAAACGCACGTAGTGTATCATTGTTTTTCTTTCGACGGGACAGCAGCTCATGCTTTTTTGGGCCAGTCGAATTTTGACATTAAAAATAAAAGTATTTTTAAAAAGTAAATTCGGCGGCGGAAAACATTAACTTGCCTACATAGTTTCCTATCATACCAATTCAAATCTGTATACTAACTGCATGACGTGCATCCTTACTTTTCCTAATAGCAATTTTATTATGCCTTTCGTCGGTAATTTCGGTTTAAACTTCAATTCTCAATATTTCTTCTAAACGGCATTTCCAGATGTCAGTAGTTAGTTCTCTACTGTGATCAACTTATTGCTAAATCCTACTTATCACCCTTTTTACAATCTTTTTTCTGTTCTGATGAAGTTTTCGTTTCATGTANTTTACTGCGCCATTTGTAGTATTTTCTAAAACGCACTGTTAAGACAGGTAAAAGTTGGTCTGTGTTCTGTCGGAGCTGCCTGCGACGCGCTGATGAGATCCAAAAACATCGAAATCGCGATCCGCGTCTGGCAGTTTCGACAGAATACAGACCACTTCAAATTATTTTAAACATACAAATGTCAAAAATCGTGTAATTCCGGCAGACTACAGCATTAATGCGCCTGGCGCTTGCTTTTGGTGTGAGACATAACAAGACCTTCAAGTAGTGACACTACGCGTTCATGCATAGACATTTGTTTTTTGCAAGATTAGGTATTTTTTAACTGACGCCCTTATGAATTATTAGTAATAGTGTAAAAAAGAATTTAATAAAATGCATTAATTATAGTAAGTAAATTAGCTAATTTTATTGGTCCTTAAGTAACAACATATATGATCCTGACTGTGCGATGGATAATATAATGAATCTTATGTAGGGTCGCATCTCGTCCATTAAAAAAGTGTCTGTGTTAAAGATAAAAGTTTAGCCAGAAGTAGATGGATCACGCCTGAACTAATAATTTCGTGTCAAACTAAACAATCTCTATATTTGATGATAAAACAGAATCTCAGACAAGAATATAAATAGTACCGCAAATTGCGTTATATCATCAAAATCGGTAGTAATGTGGGTAAGTGTAATGTTTTATTTTGTGTGTGGAACCAACAATTCGATTCTTTTGATGTACCCAAATTAGGGGAAGAAATAGAGAATAAATATTATGTAAAGTGGTTGTTTTACTTCTGGAAAGTAAATAAGGAAAATATTTATTGGTGAAGGGTTAAAATCGTCCACATAGTTTAATAGATATCTAATGAAACATGTAGGTATGTAGTATGTCTTAAAAGGCATGTGCTTCGTGCGTTTCCGGGTTGTTAAATCAGTAATCAGTAATAATATTAATATTTTAATTACAAAAATAATAAATGTCAATAAAACTATTATTTCAAAATCGAAAGCTTTCTACTTATTTAAAAATTGTCTATGATAAATTTTAATCAAAATCAATGTTTTAAAATCGTTTCTGTTTGCAATTCACCTACGATGTTGTTATTCTGGTTGTGTTAACATATGATGGTAATATATATGGAAGGATGGGCTACTTTCATGACCCAGTTTATGTTAAAGGCCTGGTGACTTCGTACGTGACACACAAGGACAATGCACAAACAACCAAGGTTGCATTTACAAGATAGTCGTTCTGTTAACTGAATGATTTTTGAGTGGTGTTTTATAAGAAATTTGGATTTAACATGTCCAACAAGAAACAACCTCAGTTTGTCTCGAAGCCGTCTCCCTCAGACACCGGTTCAAATACCGCTATTCCGCCCCGTTATCAACCGCCCCCATTGCCAGCATCCGGGACAGGAATACTCAAACATACTGCAATAAAAGATGCAAAACTATTCGTTCCTAAAGGCCAAGAAAACCTAAAGAATCCTTCAGATCCTGCGAATTCTAACAAGTATTATCCTACTGCAGTATCTGTTAAACAGTTTCACCCTTATCCAGTCGGAGGACCATCTCAAGCCCGTCCCAATCCTAGGACCTTCGAAGAGGATCTGAGGGTACATTCTCAAATTCATCAAGATTTGATTAGAAATCCTCCACAAAGATTGGATGAAGCTGGAATTCCACAGCATCCTCAAGATTTACGACTCCATCAGATCAGAGCAGGTGTTCGTGGTTTTACAGAAGAAGATTTTCATAGAATTACTCCAGGTAAAGTCAGTATTAAAATTCATTAAAGACATTTACAAACGGCAGTTCAATATTGTTTGCAGTTTACTTATTTAATCGTTTTATTTTATTTTTTTTTGAGATATTTAGTGTAATATTATATTATGTAGACAGGGGTCATTTTGATAGAAAATAAGGAAAAGGCAGATAGGTGGAAAGAATACCTAGAGAATGAAGATNTCGGGATATTTATGAAGTAGAGGAAAGAGGGGATATTGCTTCTCAAGATATGGACGATGGGGAAAAAGCTTTAGTTAGAGAAATGTGTAATGTAAGTAATGACCACAATAGTTAAATTTTTCTATATATGATGTTCATTTTAGGTTGTATGGAGAAAATTAGAAGAGGCACCCCCTCCACCAAGACGATAACGCTAACAGTAAATTAATATTTTTCCAGGATTCATAAATTCTTGCCTTTTGGTGTATATATTGAACGTTCAAAGTACGCAAAGTACACTTATTTATACGTTTATTTTTATAAAGTATTTAAATAAAATATTTTAAGCTCTTTTGTAACGTTTGTGGTTATTAAAAAATTATTTTATCTAAGAAAAATATTTTTATTGTATTCTTTTTGGAAGTTCATTTATTTCCCTTCTCTTACTTTTTCCATACTTTGTAAAAGTCAATTACTTATAACTATAAGATGTTGATCAGGTAAACAATAATTTAACCTAATAAGACAGAAAGAGAACTGAACGTTTTTAAAATTGATTACTGTTTACAGTCTTCAGTTTACCTTTTTTCCTCAACAGAATTTGTAGTTGTCATTTTACTGATAGGAAGTTTATTTTTTGTAAGATGATCTAGATACAAACTTCCTTATTAAAATAGTTAAACAAGAAAACAACATACTACTGGTATTTCTGAGCATGTGAGGTATAGAAACGCGTTTTTAGTTTCTTAAACGCTTTTATGCTTAATTATGGGTTTTAGTGTTTTATTTAGTTCACTTCTACCGAACTCCATTTTAGAACTAAGTAGTAAGTTCTTAGTCTTAATCATGGTCTCTGTTGAAACAATTACCAAATTTTTACAATTAATTAATAAACAGTTTTGATTAATACATATTGCCAAAGACCAGAACGCATATGCTGTAACATTCTGGAACGACCAATCTCTATAAACAGTTATCGCGAGATCGAGGCAATAGAAAGAGAAGAAAGAGTGAATAAGTAATAGTGTTTATAAAGTGATGAATTATTAACTGTTATTAACAAACGTAAATTGCTGAAACATCTAGTACCATAAGACCAATGTAAACAGGATGTAAATAATTCAATAAACCACTCTAACACAACACTCATTCTTATTTGGATAGTGCAATAGTATCAACCTTGAATGCTGTGAGAAAGGACCTGTTACCCCAACTAGAAAATGTGGAATGTTAAGGGCAATTTGTTTTGAGATAAGGCCTTCGTGCCAGACTCGGTCGAACGCTTGTTGAATGTCAAGAAGCATGGGGGTGTGACGCCGCTTGTTAAGGTTGTCGGAAATGTATTCAGATACGCGAAGAAATTGGTGGCGGGTGCCGTGATCGGGGAGAAGGTTATTTTGCTCCACGTGGTCTAAGAGCCGACCGAGAAGGATTGATTCAACTACTTTGCTCAACGAACTGAGCAGGCTGATGGGCTTGTAGCTTGGAGAGAGCTGAGGGGCTTCCCTTTTTTGGGGAGACAGATGACAGTGACTTCTTTCCAGACCAAAGGGAAGTGGTGGAGCCGCATGATGGCGTTTGTGATGTTGCACAATGCTGTTATGTGCTTTGGCTGTAGGGCTTTGAGGACTCCGTTTTTAATTCCGTCAGCACCAGGAGTTTTCCTCTTTTTGAGAAAACGAATAGTAGCGGAGATTTCATGGGTTGTAGTGTGTCTAAAATCGGAATTTAAGGTAACGAAGTTCTGGGAGACGGTTTTGGTACGCTCGTAAAAGTCGACAAGGTCTGCTGGACTGACCACTGGAGACATAAAGTGTCTGCGAATACTGTAGCTTTTTCTTCGTCTGAAGAATAGGTGGAGCCGTTCTGTTTTAGTGGCGGAAGATGGGGAGCCCGGTTACGAAGAGAACGGATCAATTTCCAAGTGCTTCGGGGGTGTGTTTCTGCCGGAGAGATATAATCATCGAAGGATGCGCTACGGAATTCAGTGAGACAAGTGTTTAGTTCTCGTTGAAGGGCGTTTACATCTACATGGTGTGCGGGGAAGCGGTGTCTATTCCACAGATGTCGGGCCTTGTTTTTCCTCTTAAAGAGGCGAAGAATGTCTGCGGGGAGGGTTCTATTTTTTGGTGGGCGTGGGACGGGAGGTAGTGGAGAGCTCGATAGCGCTGGCTCGTTTGAAAGGAAATTCACAGCTTCGTGAAGTCCCGCTATTGTGCGAATTGGAATGCACTTGAATGAAGATGTTTCGAGGGTGTAACGGAGCTGTAGCCAATCTAGTGACGTGGTTAGGTTTGGGGGTTGCTGATTGGGCTGGGCGGCCGACTTCAATCAGGGCTGGAAGGTGGTCCGAATTTAGTGCGTCAATGACGATAGAATCGGCGGAAAGTGTAACATTTTTTGTAACTAAAATGGAAAGGATGTCAGGAAATTGATTGTGGGGGGCCGAGAAGAACGTGTGGTCAGGAGGTGCTTCAACTGTGAGGTTGAAGTCAAGAATTTTGACAAGAAGGGAGGTGCCTCTACTGTTGGCTTGTCGACAGCCCCAAGAGACGTGTTTAGCGTTGAGATCGCCGGCGACGATAGTTAAAACGCCTGGGGGGAGTAGAAGGGGAGTTCAGAAAGGTCTCTGTCCGAAGGAGGGAAGTATTAAGAGGATCGGAAGTTAGCGAAACTTTGATGCCGACTGTTTCTAACGAGTTTGTGGCCAAAGAGATAGGCCTGTGCTTTAAAGAATTCCTAACAAGAATGGCGAACCGCTGGTACTGCGGTTTTCACTGTCCTTTCTGTAGGATGAGAAGTTTGATATTTTCGGACAGGTAAGTTTCGGTGATGCAAGCAACACCGATCGACTTATCCTCGAGGAAGTGCTCGAGTTCAGTCAATTTACCTCTAATGTTTTGCTCATCTAGGTAACTATGAGGACATGGTCTGGGTGAGCGGTGTTAAACATTGGTGGTTTGTTGTAGGGCGGCGACAATGCTGACGACCATGGTTTGGACAATAACTTGCTCCAAACTTGGGATTGCAACAACAGCTGAAGAAGTGCTAGTGTTGCGATTTTGGGTGGGGGGTGAGGGGCTGTTCTTACTGCCTTGGCGTAGGATGTTTGGGGGGACATTGCCAAGGTGGTAGCAGGAGGATAGGGGGTGGTTCTTTAGCCTTTGGAAGCAACGTGTGTGACCGGGGAAGTCTTTTTGGGAACCTTGGGGCAGTCGCGGTAGGTGGCGCGGTGGTTTCCTTTATAGTTGGCATCCTTCTTGTCCTTGGTTTTGCACTCGGCAGTTATATAGTTACGGTCACAGAAAGTGAAAAAATTTCAAACAGCGGCGGCATTGGAGAACTTCCTTCGTATCTTTTTTTGGCTCAACTTTAATGTTGAGACCACAGAGTTGACCAAGATCGAAAATTGTCTTGGAATTTGTAGCGGTCTTATCAAGACGGGGCCAGATTTTGTTACCTTTGGACATACGATGGATGCCTTTGTGGCTGAGTTCGGACTCGATGTCCTCCATTGGGATGTCTTCACAGACACCACGGATAACGACATAAAGGTCACGGTCTTGCTGGATCTGGTTTGTAGAGAATTGGACTTTGGATTCGTCCAGGAAAGAGGATAGATGATAGACTCGAATTGAGTCCTGAGTATTAATTGCCCTACAGGCGGAAATGCCGTAACTGTCCACGGCACGAAGAATTTTCGGCCAAAGGGACTTTGGCGTATGATGATGGGGGGGGTGGGAGTTTTTACTTAGATTAGATAGTACTAAATTTGATTCGTTGTCAAAGGAGGAGGATTCGGACGACGTTTATTGCTGCCGTTGCGCTTATTGGCGCGTTCGCCGGCTTTGATGAAGCCGTCATTCTCTCGTCGGTCGATGTTGGGGAGACGTAGTTATCCGTGGTGTCTGCGAAGGCATCCCAACAGAGGACATCGAGTCCGAACTAAGCCACAAAGATTTTATTATCAAAGGCATACATCATATGTCTAAAGGTAATAAAATCTGGCCCCTTGTCTCCGTCCGTCTTGATAAGACCGCCTCAAATTCCAAGGCAATTTTCGACCTTGGTAAACTCTGTGGCCTCAACATCAAAGTTGAGCCAAAAAAGGCTACAAAGGATGTTCCTCAATGCCGCCGCTGTATGAAGTTTTTCCATACAGCCAACTACTGCCACGCAACCTGGATCTGCGCATTCTGCTGCCGCAATCACATCACTGCTGAGTGCAAATCCAAGGACAAGAAGGATGCTACTCCCACTTGTGCCAATTGCAAAGTGAACCACCGCGCCACCTACCGCGGCTGCCCCAAAGTTCCCAAAAGGCCTCCCCTTCCTCCCCCAAGAAAATCGTCATTCCCGTTGCTTCTCAAGGCACAAAAACTACCGCCCATCCTTCGGCTACCACTTTAGCAGCACCATCCCAAATGTCCTACGCCAAGGCAGTAAGAACCGCCCCCCACTCCCCCAGCCCAAAAACGCAACACAAGCACTCCACCAGCTGTAGTTGCAATCCCAATGACTTCAAGTCATTGTTCAAACCATGGTCGCCAGCATTGTCGCCGCCTTACAACAAACCGCCAATGTCTAACACCGCCCAGTCAGACAACCTTCGTATAGTTACCTAGAATGCCCAAAGCATTAGAGGTAAATTGACTGAACTCGAACACTTCCTCGAGGATAAGTCAATCGGTGTTGCTTGCATCACCGAAACTCACCTGTCCGAAAAAATCAAACTTTTCGTCCCGAACTTCTCATACTACAGAAGTGACCGTGAAAACCGCAGTGTCGCCATTCTAGTTAGGAATTCATTAAAACACAGGCCTATCTCTTTGGCCACAAACTCATTAGAAACCGTAGGCATCGAAGTTTCACTAACTTCCGCCCTCTTAGGATTATTTCTCTCTACTTCCCCCCTTCGGACAGAGACCTTTCTGAACTCCACCTTCTACTCCCCCCAGGCGCTCCGACCATCGTTGCATACGACTTCAACGCTAAACACGTCTCTTGGGGCTGTCGACAAACAAATAATAAAGGCAACTTCCTTCTAGCCAAAATTCTTCAGTTCAACCTCACAGTTGAAGCACCATCTGACCCCACATTCCTTCCTACCCCCCACCATCAATCCCCTGACATTCTTGACATTTTCGTCATGAAAAATGTCACACTTTCCGCCGATCCTATCGTCATAGACGCATTAAGCTCGGACCACCTTCCAGCCCTTATTGAAGTCGGCCGACCAATCCTCAACCCCCCAAATCCAACTACGACACTAGATTGGTTGCACCTTCGTACCATTAAAAAATCTTCATTCAAGTGCACTCCAATTCGCACAATAGCGGAACTTGACGAAGCTGTGAGTCTCCTGTCAAACGAGATTACCAGCGCAGTCGAGCTCTCCACTACCTCCCGCCCAACCTACACCAAAGACAGAACCCACCCAGCAGATATCCTTGACCTCTTTAAGAGGAAAAACAAGGCCCGACGTCTGTGGAATAAACACCGCGTCCCCGCACAACGTGCAGAGGTAAACGCCCTTCAACGAGAACTAAAAACTCGTCTCACCGAATTCCGCAGCGCATCCTTCGACGACTATATCGTTCAGGCAGAAAAACACCCTCGAAGCACCTGGAAAGTGATCCGTTCCCTTCGTAACAGAGCTCCCCATCTTCCGCCTCTTAAACAGAACGGCTCCACCTATTCCTCAGACGAAGAAAAAGCTGCAATCTTCGCAGACTCTTTGTGTCTCCAGTGCTCCCCACTACTAAGCCCAGTGGATCTTGCCGACTTTCACGAGCGTGCCNTGGTGCGACTTTGAACGGAAAAACGTAAAAAACACCATAAATAGACTTTTTGAACAAAAATAAAGCAAGCAACAGCTAGTTCTTATCATTTATTAATTAATTATCGTTATCAGTTGTCATTTACTGATGAATTAAAGAAAAATTTGTCCTAATGTTCGATTTCGGTTCCCAAAAATAACCCATGTATAGACCTGTCGATTGTTTGGGAACCGAAATAGAACTTCTGCCAAATATTTTTGCTTAATTTATCGATAAATGATAACTGATAATATAGATTAACCGATAAATGATATAAAGAGCTCCTGCTTGCTTTATTTTTGCCAAAAATTTATTATTTATGGTGTTTTTTACCTTTTTTCGGTCTTAAACGACCCACATATATGAACTAAAATAGAACTTTTGTTGAAAATTTTTGCTTAATTCATCAATAAATCACATTTAATATCAAATATTATTTCATAAATAATCTAAATACGTTCTCCCTAGCTTTGATTTTTGTAAAATAATAGGAATTTCTTGCTCGAATTGAGTTTTTTTAATTTTTAAGATTTTAAATTCAACTTTTACTGAAAATTTTTGCNAGCAAGGTTAGACTATACTACAACTACTAAACGTGTTATTTCTACTACTACACTACTACTACATACAAAAAAAAATAAAAACATCTACAATCAACAATTAATTTAAATAAAATGAACAAAAATAAGCATGCAAAACAAAAACTAATTCAAAGAAACTACAAAAAAAAACATGCAAAATAAAAAATTAATCTGAGTTTGGACTAAAAGAATTATTTTTATTAGGTAGAGCATGCAAGACAAAAGAACTATTTTAACTACGGGGTCTTCTTTGTCTTCTCCAGCGTCGATCTGAAACAGATACGGTGGTAACAGATTAATAAAGAGCAATTAATATGAATTATATTAAATACTCTCACCTTAACAAACAGTAGACTGTTGTAAACTTCCCAAGTTTGCATGTGTGAAAAGCAAACTAAATCCACAAGGAATATCATAGCAGGAAACTTGTTCCAGTGAAATTCATATAAATCTCCTCTGGCTCTCACTCATCTGTTGAAAATTAACTGCATAATGTTGCAAGTTGAAGACGAAAACAGCAAATCAAGAGAAGACATTGGCTGTTTCAATACCATCAATCTGAACTTTAATTCTTCCTTTTTCACCATTTGGACGTTCTGCAGAGACGGACAAAAAGAAATATTAACTAAAGAACATATTAAATTAAGTAAAATATGAAATATAATAAAAACATACACGAAAAAGCAAGTAAAATACCTATATTATAAAATGGTGATGTGCTATCAATTTCATTCAACACATGGATAATTGTTAGTGGCAATAGAAATAAACATAGATACTTGTACCCAATAGATAATTGATAGAAGAAAATCATAGATGTGGGCAATAGGTAACTGTTACAGAACAAAAACAATAGATGCCAGACATGGCAAATTACTATGAAAATTACGTTCCATCAAAATAATAAACAATAAAGCAATTACGTACCTCGAGGTTAATTGTACGATGCTCAAGTTTTATTCCTAAATACATCAATATGAATTGGACTTCATTTGTTCTCGAAAAATTGCACTTTTCAAATCTAAGAGGATGGACCATTAACAGGGCTCCACTTCTCCACGTTTGGAACCCTTGTTTTTTGTCTCCTTGTTCATTTAATAAGTTTAAATGAAAACCTGTTGAAACAATTTAATGTTAGTTTCATATTAACTATATTTGCACGAATGGGGCTCTGTATCTTCACGGTTCAAGTCCTTTAGATTTGATCTCTCTATGCTTATTATACAAATTGTTTGAGACAATTTAATATTAGTTATAAGTTTATTTATAATATTACTAATGATAATTACCATTCTTAATATTGATGCCTTCGGAATGTTTCGATCACCTCATTAGAAGCGTTCTTGGAAATAAAAATAAGTCATTGCTGTAAACACTGGATCCATAAATAGTTTGGCCATGTAATCCAACAGTTATCTTCAGGTGATGTCTATATTGTGGAAAAAACCAAACAAGTCATTAAGACCCAATTTACAGAAAAACAAGGCAAAAATGAAATTTTTTCGAGAATTCATCTCCTTGTATTAAAATAAAGGATGCTTCAAGAATTAATCGTTTATGTATGTAGTTTCAGATTTTTTCTTTGAAACCTGTATACTTAACGACAGGTCATCCTTCTACCCTAAGTTAATAAAAAAGAACCTTACATAACTATTAATATGAGTTTATACATTCAATTTGTTCACATGTTTAATACTTTTATTTATTATTAATTTCATCATTAAGTAAGTAATGCATTAAAAATAAACTAACTGCCGAATAATAAAAATAACTTTCGAACCTCTTTTCAGATTGAAATTTTCGAGAAGCGGTCATAAATTAAAAGGGGCGCTCTCGGGGAGCACTAGTTTCACACTAAAGAAATTGAAGTTTATTAATTAAAAATTGTTCAGTTATTAAATTAATTTAAAATGATATTCTATTTTTTCACTTTGGTTGAAGATCTTTAAAAAAGAGCGCGTTTTATATATTACTTTAGAAAATATGAAATTAGTGTATATACACTACAAAATTATTAAAAAATGAAATAGGTATACTAATATATCCTAATATGTAATTGAATTTCTTGTAAATTATTAGGAGCAAAAAATTCTTTTCTACAGACATCGTGCTGACATCTAGTAACTATTTGTGAATTTTGGAACGGAAATATAGGCGGTAGTAATTGTCCCTATTTTACCAGAAACAAAGTACTTGGAAATCTCTAAAACTGAACCCTCATTTCTCAATTCAGTGGATAGATGGCAGCCCATATACCGATTCGATAGACTTAATAATTCACAAAAATTAAGAACAATCATTTTTTTCCTACAATTTTTCCTAAATAACTGCATCAATCGTATCATCCAATCCTTGACAGGGATTTAGAGACTTATTTATAGTATATTNTTAGGTAAACATAAAGACACAAAAATTACATCACACATTAACATAAATAAAAACACTTTCGGATTTCCTTAAGTTGAACAACGGCAGATAGCAAATGCCAATTCGAATTTGAGAATGGTGACTATGTACCTACAAAGCAGGCATCATAAATAGATGTGAAAAAAAAATAATGTAAAAAACTAAAATAATTTTTAATTTATCTACCCCACCAAGCATTCAAAATTCATATTGCAACAAAATTATTACATTTGGAGCATTGAAGTAAAAAAAGCGAAAGAATACTCGACCGTGACAGGACTCGAACCTGCAATCTTCGGATCCGAAGTCCGACGCCTTATCCATTAGGCCACACGGTCTATACACCTTAATATCTCATCAAGTGGCAGTTGTGTAGTAGGAATATTAAAATGTAATGAAATACTTTTTTTAATTTATTTTATTACATCATCTGTTTTTATAAGCACATCAACTATAAATAAAATAATTTAAAATACCACTACAAAAAATGATAGTTAGATTGCTTTGGATCTTATTTTGACATTAATATTTAAATAAAAAGTTAGAAATTGTGGGCGTAGAAGAATTGTTTAATTTATGCATTTTCTGTTTTTTATGGGCGCCTACTAGTTATGATTTCATTTTGGTCATGACATCCCTCTTGCCAAACTTAAAAGTTGATCATACCTTTTAATTCGGCAATTCCAAACATCAGATTCTTTCAGTACTAGGTAATTAAAAAAAAGTTACCAACCAATACCTCTTTACCACATAAACATAACGTGAAGCAATAAAATACAAAGTATGACATACAACAAGAAATAAACTTAAATTATCCACAAATCGAGTTTGGGAAAAAAATTTGGCATACAAAATGAGTTCCGATCCCCCTGCCTATTCTCCAAATGCGTGCGTATTCAATAGACAATCCTCATTGTGCTTGTGCGTAGTTCTCAACCAATCATGTGGCCGATTCAAGATTTCCACCGCAATTATTGTTTTATCTCGGCACACAATAGGCTCCATTCACGGCTTTCCTTCCTCTCTCATCTTCCATTTCGGAACCTGCTCGGTGCTATGTGCTCTCATATTACTCGTCGTGTCCATAGGATATCTTTATCCCCTTCTTCGCCACCTTTTGATGCGTAAAACAAGGATAAGAGTGTGCGTGATTCTGTTCTCCTAGTAGGCATGTGGATACTGTATACCAATTGTTTTCCCGTTTTCATTAATGGATGAGAGTTCATACTTACTCACAAGAAAAAACTAGAATGATTATCACAAAATAATGAAATATCATAATCATAATCATCATCAACAAAGGGTTATCAGTCCTAAGACTTGTTGGACACTCACCTCCATTCTTTCTTATCCTGAGATAATCTTCGTATTTTCCTAAAACTAGAGCATCCCGCATCCTCAACTATTTCTGAACAGAAATCTGATCTAGGTCTACCTGTACTCCTTTTATAACACCTGCTTCTGCATCTAATATGTCTCTGACCAGCACTTCATGCCTGAGAAGGTGTCCTACTAATTTATCTCGCCTATTCCTTATTGACTTCCGTGGCGCTCTCTGTTCTCCTAGTTTTTCTAATACCTCGTCTTTTCCAATCTCCCCCGACTACAATTTTAAGGGGATGCAGGTAGGGTCTCTAATTGGGTACCTCTTGTGGGTCCCATGAGGTTGCCCCCTAGAGGAAGGGGCATATAACGCCTTGCCTTATTTGCGCATCATCAGGAATTCCGCATGTGACCCCCGCGGGGGAAAATTATTGCTATCCCATTAAAACTATTTGGAAAAATTAACTTTATTGTTAATAAAAGAAATACAGTATACATATATTATGTGTAACATTTGTTTGCTCTTATGTAAGATTGTGTTATTGGCTGTTATGTAGTCAATAAGTTGCAAACGGTTTATTGTTGTTCGACCTGCTGCGTCTGGTTTCAGTTGTCTTATAACACTAAAATCAGGAAGTACACTTGTTGGTTCGTTGCAAATGTAAAAGATTTCACGGCAAGGGGATTGTTATTGTAAGTTTTTCATTTTACCGAGAGTATTTTCAAATGAATTTGCCTCATGAAGCCCCCATAAGGTAGATTTAATTGTAAGTTTATACATGTGATAGGTTTGCCCCTCAAGACCCATATGAAAAACCTACAAGGAAATCCTCATTTTCGTATCACCACTTTTTTTGGTGGGATTTTCATGAAGAATCTACGCCGAAATCATTATATCGGCATGCCCCTCATTAGCCACATCTGACCCACACGCTACATGGGGCATGCCCCCTATAAATTCTGGTCGAGTCACTATCCGCGGTACCGCGCCGTCTATCCGCGGTACCCGTATCTGCAACACCGCACAATTTTAACTCTTCTGATTCTAATTCTTCATCTCATATCTTTATATTCACCCTTTCCCTACTTTTTCTTCCCCCGCATGCTAATATTGTTATTTAATTCACTTTTATTTATTTTCATACCATACTGTTTTGTCAGTACCGCTTCCATTTTATTTGAAGCTATCTCTAACTCCTTCTTGCTAGATGCTAAAACTGCTATATCATTTGCAAATCTAGCAGTGACTGTGTGTGTCCTTGTCTAACTTCCTTCCTAATATTTACAGCTGAAGTTCTAATACTGCCTTATGTTGCTTTTTATAGGGTTTTAATAGCAAACGGTAAATAAAACAATGTCCAACAGAAAATACCAAATCATCAGCAAATCAGTTGTTGTGAAGAACTGGAAGACATCGCGAATTAGATTTTAAATGGACTATTGCGACTATCAAAAAACCCTTCTCGGTCAATAATTTATATAACTCCCCAGGTGTGGATCGCATTCTTCAACTAAAATTGGTAATCACCACATAGCTCAGTTCTTTCTTTGATTTTCTGTGATTTGATTTGCCATGGCGGCTTAATCAGGTGGGTATGACAAACTCTCAAACTACTGTTTCTCCTTTAAATCAGTCGTTTGGTCGTCATCGGCGTTGATTGTATTGCTATTTTTCTAATATTTACTACTTGATTATGGCACACCGGTAATCGAGGTAGCTAAACAGAGGGGGTAATCAATTCTAGCATACCAAAGGTAGATACTATTATTGAATTCATTTAAATCACATTTTTGTTAAAAACTATAGTAAACTTGTTTCCAAGATTTTCAGTTTTTGACCTGTTCTCAGTTAGGTACATCTCTCCACATCTCTCCGCCCCTGCGACAACAGACCAAACGATGAACAATTTTTCAATCAATGAAACATCCTTACATTATTACATTAAGTATCGCCCCAAAATTCCTTTCCTTTCCCTTTAACTACGCGACATTCGGGATTAGAATGAAAATTACAACCAAAACATTCGTTTACTCCTGTAGGTAACCCGGATAGTTAAAGGAACTTCATGTAGCCTAAAATTCTATGAGTCGTCACTTGGCTTATGAAAGCTATCTGATACATCAAATGTATCGTTGCTCATGACTGGCAATATACTGAGTGGTGACTTTTGATGGACTTCGGAGCTTCTTCCAACAGATCCTTTTCGACCAGAGAGAAGCAGCCCGGAAAAGGAAATTCCTCTAGCAGACTTGTTTGTTTCAACTTTACCAGATATCTATCTGTTCATGCTTCATAATCCTATTCTCCACGCATTTGATGTTTGATGCTTCAAGAACAGTATTCTATCCAAGCAGGTTTTCATAGTTTAAACATTATTCAGAACATTGTTATCACAAGACGAATAAACGGTGCGATAAATGGATCTGTTTCGTGTTTTGACTGATCATTCTTATAAGCATTTTACATGGGTGTACGAGGGTGGATTGATAAGTTTCCGGCCTAACCAAGAGATGACGCCACTAGGCCTACCTTGAGGTGACATTCTATAGTACCATCCTTGGATAGCTTGTAGCTATAGTTTCAGCCCGATCTCCTTGCTAG